GGTCTCTTGAGCTGTTGTGCCTTGCTGTTTTTATGAGCTTCCTCAGGGTGTAGGTCTAGTGTCCTTTCTCCAGTGTGGGTGCATCTTATTAATGCTGATCACTGATTACTTGGATAAGCATTCTTGACATAGTAACCTTGGTACAATTCTTAGTTTTATTGAATTAGGCATATTTCTATATATTCTCTGAGTTGCTGTTGCAAGGAAGATTTGACCTAAAGTTTTAAATAACATATCTTATAAGAGATAACATATAAATACATAATAAGAACTACTTTTTTTTTTTAATGGTTCCTTACAAGGGCCTTGATATATTTTACCAATATTTAAGTGATGACCATTCAAGTTTGCTAACAGCTTTTTCAGGATTACATATGATATCACAGTGACTATCCTTGTACATACGCCCTTGTGAATTTGGGCAAGTTTTATAGAGGCTACATAGCATTTCTGGATCAAAGGACATACACATTGAAATTTTTATAAATCTGCCAAACTGTCTCTCAAAATTATAATTTTATCAACTGCATGTAAGAGAATATGTTTCCCCATGTTACTTCCTTCTGGTTTTATCTTTGTTGTCTCTCTCCAGTTCCTGAAAAATTTTGTGAGCTTGGTAAAATATATATAATACTCTATTTTGCATTGGAATCAGCACACTTGGGATTAGATCAGTCATAGTACTAATAAGTGGCTGATCCAGATTGGAATCAAAATCCTTTATGTCTAGTGTTCTTTCAGTTGACTGACACTGAAAAATGTTTCTTTGATTTTACTTTATTTTTTCTTACATGTTAATACTTGGAACCAGTATCATAGTCTACTTTTCAGAAAGTCAAATCATTTCTGTCCAGCTTTATTCAACAGAAATTAATGAACTAACCAATTAACCTCTGATTGTGAGTGGAGCTCTTCATTATTTGTCAGTAACAGTAACTTATGCCAGGTTAAAAAAAAATTAGTTTCAGATGTATTTAGTATGCTTATTGGTAGTACCAATATATAAAGTTGACGTAGAGATTTTAATGTATCTTAGTCTTCAGCTGTTTATCAGCCTGATGCATAGTAAATAACTATTCAACCATTGAAACTGTAGTATTTGATAAATCTGCAAAAATTTTGCTGTATGAGCCAATGACATTTTTACATTAAAGATAACTCATGCAGTAACTTCTTTTCATTAAAGCGTGGGACAATTTAAATGATGATGGAGTGAACATATTTTTGAGGCTGATTCGTGATTTATCAAACCTATCTTATTTGAGAGTGTCCTCTACTACTGATTTTTTTAGCTGGTCACTTTCATTAATAGTCATTTGTTTACTCAGCTTTCAAATTGCTACCAATGAATTCATGCCAACATTATGTAATACATGCTTGAAATTTTGTTTTCCAAATGCAATTTTATTTAAGTACATGGAAAATATTTCATTAATAAGATTTAAAAGTGGTAGAGTATATCTTTTTTGTTAAGCTTTATTGACAACAAAACAAAATAGCTTTAGGGATAGACTGGAGCTTGTGTTTTCTTTCAGATGGGTGGCACCACAATCCCAGCTTCTAGGTAATAAAAGAGTGGTCCACAGATTTCATCACGGCTATTTTAACTCTTTTAGCCATTTAAAACAGGAATAGATGTGGACAAATTTACTTCCTAAGACTTAGGTATTTCTCTTTTATTAAACTGCTCTAAAAATACCAGTTTAAGTCTGGGTGTGAGAAATGACAGGCAGGAGAAAACAATTTTGGATTATCAAAGTAACACTGATTTTAGCTGAACTAGAGTTAATAATACACAGTATTACAGATTTGTCCACTGAAATTAATGTCTCCTGTCCCAGTCCTCCCATCATGTTTCATTGCTTCTGTCATAGCCCTCATCAATGTCTACAGTGCAATGTATATATGTGCTTCTCTTTCTCCTTTTTCCACAATAGTGTGAGTCTGGAGAACTAGTTCTTTCTGTTATTCATCTTTCTATTCTGTTTAGGGCCTGCCACGTGATAGGTATAAATGTTGAATTCAACTGATATTTGTAAAATAATATAGTGCGAAAACATGACAAGTCATTCTATGATAATCCTTTGCCACTACCTCTAGATTTTCATTTTACTAAAGTGAATCAATTTTACATAAAAAGATCTTACATAAAAAGATACAACAGACTTGTTAATTTTGTTTACAGAGAAATGTTTTATATACTCTGAGGGTAATTACAGTTTACCATCTGTTTCTTTTTTTTTTGCGGTACACGGGCCTCTCACTGTTGTGGCCTCTCCCGTTGCGGAGCACAGGCTCCGGACACGCAGGCCCAGCGGCCATGGCTCACGGGCCCAGCCGCTCCGCGGCATGTGGGATCTTCCCGGACCGGGGCGTGAACCCATGTCCCCTGCATCAGCAGGCGGACTCTCAACCACTGCGCCACCAGGGAAGCCCCCATCTGTTTCTATTTATCAGTCTTTTCCATCTCCCTATTCATTTGTTCTACAGCATCTTTTGTATGTGAGATTATCTCTCCATTTAGCTTTTGATGTTTTTGAACTTTTAGTTTTTGGTATTTAGGAAATATGCAGAATATTTTGTGATCTTCTGCAGGTTATGTTTGTGGTATAATTTGAATTTGGGTCCCTTTCCTTAAAGGGAAATACGTGTTGTCAGTAATGGGTAAAATGAGATGTCCCTCTTAGATATCTTGTAAAAACTCTTATTTTTGTTTTGCACTTTTTAAGGACCTTAGGCTTTTCTTTTCTAGAAAAACAATGCTTTTTAGACTTTATTTTCATTCTAACAGGAATGGAGAAAGAGGACTAATGAATGCTTTAGTCTGTTGAATGCTTACTATGTTCCAGTATTGTGATGAGCACTATTATAATTATTAAGTCATTAATTGCTTAATACCTCTGTCAAAGGTGATACTATTACCATTTACAGTTGAAGAAGCTGAAGCAAAAAAGGGATTTCTTTTTTTTTTCCCACTTGGCCTCTGTTTTATTTCTGATATAATATAGGACAGAAAACTATTTCCCGTATATCATTGATTAGTGGAAAATTCTTTGGGACCTTTACTCATGCCAGTACGGTCAATTAACTATCTTTTCCAATATTCCACCTGTTAAAAAACACCTAGAAATTTGGAGGTAGATTTTATAAACACTCTTTTAAATGTGTAGCTAAATTTGCAAAAAGGGAAGGTGATTTCATAAGTGCAATAAAATGAGGAAGTAGCTCAAAAAAATACAGTTGTCTCTCGGTGTCCGTGGGAGATTGGTTCCAGGAACCCCTGAGATACCAAAATCCGCAGATGCTCAAGTCACTAATATAAAACGGTGCAATACAGGAATTCAGCCTCCTTCCACAGATTGAGCAGGGGACCAAATTTGAAACCTTTGGGTATGGAGGGCCGATTATAGTTTATTTCTTCTGAAACTGCTGGTGTCCAAGGTCTTTGCTGATTTTTATGACCTAATGATTGGTTTTAACAGCTATGTGGGGACAGAGGCAAGGCTTTGATCTGTTCAGGGTGAGGAATTAGAATCTTAGACATCTCAGCATTCACTCTTATATTGCCCAGGATTAAAAAAAAAAAGTTTGATTTGAAACTATTAGGTAAAGGATATATTTTTTTAAATAAAGGGATGAATTGATGCTAAGATACTGACCATTTCTAGGAAAATTAGAAATTAGAGAAGTAACAACGACAAAAATAGTAGACAATGGACTAAGAAAATTTCAAGGAATGATTGACCAGCAGCATCAAATCCTAGGGTGATACTAGGGGAAAAGCATGGTAAGCCAAGAGATAAAAAGGCCCAGTTAGAGAGGCAGCTGGGGCTCTTTTGCCTTATCTGATTTTCTTAGTGCTTCCCAAGTTTCAGTCAATTTTGTACCAACTTCTCAATTTTTACAGTCATATATATCTAGATTATTAGTTACTTCATACTTTAAAATAAACTTATGATGTTATGCTTATTATTTATTTATTTTTATTTTTTTGTGTGGTACGTGGGCCTCTCACTGTTGCGGCCTCTCCCGTTGCGGAGCACAGGCTCCGGACGTGCAGGCTCAGCGGCCATGGCTCACGGGCCCAGCCACTCTGCGGCATGTGGGATCTTCCTGGACCGGGGCACGAACCCGTGTCCCCAGCATCGGCAGGCGGACTCTCAACCACTGCGCCACCAGAGAAGCCCTATGATTTATTTTTAAAAGAAATCTTCCATATCACAGTAAAATATGGAAACCCTTAATACCTGCCATAAATAGAAATTTTCTATAAAAATTAATAAAATAAGGGAGCAAGGGACTTGCCTGGCGGTGCAGTGGTTAAGAATCTGCCTGCCAATGCAGGGGACACGGGTTCGATCCCTGGTCCGGGAAGATCCCACATGCCGCAGAGCAACTAAGCCAGTGTGCCGCAACTAGTGACCCTGCACTCTAGAGCCCACAAGCCACAACTACTGGGTCCACGTGCTGCAACTACTGAAGCCCGTGCACCTAGAGCCTATGCTCCACAACAAGAGAAGCCACCACAATAAGAAGCCCGTGCAGTGCAACTAGAGAAAACCCACGGGCAGCAATGAAGACCCAAGGCAGCCAAAAATAAATAAATAAATAAATAAAATAAATAAGGGAGCAAAGTTATAAGCTATGTCCTGTTACCTGTTTTTGAGCCCGAGGCCTACCTTCTGTTATAAAGAAGGAAAAACAAGCTTTAAGAGTTACTGAAGACATCATATACAGTCTTCTCCTTTATTTAATAAGGGGAATTGGAAAAGATGGAAAAAGGAAATATGCTTTGTCTTAGGTGATTCTGTCTCACTTGTGTGTGTGTGATGTGTAGGATCGTTTTCAGTACCAGCAGTGTCACTGGCTGAATGTGAAATGATCCAAGGAGGGGAGCGTGAGTGTGTGTGTGTCTGAGTGCCTTTTAACGTTCAGCCTTTGAAAGATACTGCTCTAAGCTTCCTATATTGAAATATTCTTTGTTTTTTTTCTTTTTGAAGCTCTTTTAAGAGCCTGTGCTGATGGAGGTGCCAACCGCTTATATGACGTCACGGAAGGAGAGAGGGAAAGGTATGCTTTCTTTCAGCCAGTGTCTGTTATATCAGTTCTGCTCTTGAGCTTGTTTTTTTCTCTTCTTAGTAAATGGTGACTGTTCATTTTCCTTCAAATTCTTTTTACAGAAAAACCACCTCAGGGAGAGAGCTGCTTAACCATGTTGTATTATTTCTTTGCTTTGAATGGTATCTGCAAGTAGAAATAGGCCAAGCTTATTCTTATTGAAAATAAAAAAACATTCTACTATTTCAAAGTCTCATGAAGTAGCATTATCAGATATCGATATTTGTGAGGACTTTGAACATTGACTAAAATAATGGTAATTTGAGTTTTTATTCAAACAGTTTAAAGGAATACAAACTGATCTCATATAAAAGATAAATACTGCTGTAGAAGGTTCAAGATTTTTATATTAGCATCGAGTAAAACTCAGTATAATTTAACTTACTTCTGAGTTATGCATACATATATTTTAAAGAGATAATTTATTTCTTAATGATTTGTTATCTGTGCTCTCTGGTTTTCCTGATCTTTGCATGGTGAGCTATTTTTAGATGTGAGGATACGTTTGATGAAAGCACAGTTTAAATCTAGCTCATTGCCAGCATGTGTATAGTTCGTCCTCTTGGCAAACACAAGAATTTATAGTCTAGGTATAAGCAGACTAGCTATGAAATTTAGTTCTACTTCTACCATATGTGTTATTAAAGGTACTGAAATGTTTATAGTTTGAGAAATCACCTCCTTGCTGCAAAAAATAAAAATATTTGATGCAGCATACTGTAGCTGTGAGTTTAAATACATGTATTTTGAAATGATGTAAAATACATCTTTATGGCATCAAAATTTTTACTTCACGTTTTTAATATTGGAGCTGTTATTTTGAAAGCAGCTGGTTGCCCATAGGAGGAAGGCATGAGATTGGGCATGTCTGGATGCATTATCAAAGAATATAGCCACAGTGACAGCTAGGAAGACAATTTAAATTCTTAACATTTTGTGCGTCTTTATTTTATTTTATTTTGTTTTATTTAAATTCTTTTTTGCGGTACGCGGGCCTCTCACTGCTGCGGCCTCTCCCGCTGCGGAGCACAGGCTCCGGACGCGCAGGCGCAGCGGCCATGGCTCACAGGCCCAGCCGCTCCGCGGCATGTGGGATCCTCCCGGACCGGGGCACAAACCCGTGTCCCCTGCATCAGCAGGCGGACTCTCAACCACTGTGCCACCAGGGAAGCCCCTGTGCGTCTTTATTTTTAAACTTTATGGATTCCTCTGACTGTATTCTTGAAGACTTGACATGGACAGTGTGTGAAAAAATACTCAAGTATGTGTATAGAAGTGTCTGGGCCAGTTGCTTCAGAGAGGAGCATAATGGCCATGTGGGCAAGATATGAATTGGGGGCTGTTTGTTTCATGCCTATAGGCTGCTTAGTGGCCAGCAATCTGGTACTGAGTGCTTTTTCTCTTTGTGATGGGTGTAGCTCATGAACATAATTATATGAACCAGAGCTGTGAAAGGGTATTAACACAGTACTTCCCAACTCTTCCTTGATCATAAGAACCATCTAGAATGCCTATGAAAAAACAGATTTCTGTACTGATTAATTTTATTGGATTGGGCTGGCCACTAGTAAGAAATATAACATCCAACATGTTTACTCGCATTTGAAAGCAGTGTACATTGCCAGATTTGGGAATGGGTGCCATTATTTTTGCCCAAAGTTCGAAATAATCATCTCTTATATTTCTTAACACATTTATGAGTAATGTTACGGAAATCTTCCAAGAAGAGTTATATGATTTATCTAGCATCCATTTGTCCATATATGAAGATGTTTAAGAAGAAAGTGTGTTTGTTGTTGATTTTCGAGTTGTAATAACATTGTTTGCCGTGATGCATAGTCTGATGTTTAGGGCCGTGGCTGGCTGGGGTGAAGATAGAGGCCCTAGTAGGGAGATGAGTGAAGCTAGCTGCTTCATGTGGGAATTAAAGTCTTGGAATAAATCTCATTAAATCCAAACCCTACCCAGTTAAACTAATTGGACACAGGTAACTAAACATTGTTCCTATTAACTGTATTTTTAACAGAAAGGCTTTATAATGGAAATGGAAAAAATATTCATGAGTTTTGAAAAGCCAAGTTAGGGTTGTGGACCACTGCTTCGCTTGTTGTTATTTTTTTATTTATTCAGTGTGCTAATCTACAATGTAATACCTTATAATTATGCAATAAAACATGAATATGTAGAGAATCATCTCCAGTTGAAGAGAAAGTGAGATCTTTACACATTAGGAATGGAAAGAAGGAAGGCTGATGTAGACAGTAACAGAGGAGCAGGGTTTGCCAAGGGATAGCGCTGAAGCAAAATTCAGTGGTGACCTTACGTCTGATCATGTACGGAATGCATTCAGTCTTCTACATCTTTCACAAATGTTTGTCTATTTGTTGTGAAAACAATTCATGGTGATCTGAGTATATGCTAGTGAGTCGGGAGAAACAAAAAGAAAAAAATAAAATTATCTGTTATTGGGACTTCTTTTGTGGTACAGTGGTTAAGAATCCGCCTGCCAATGTAGGGGACATGGGTTCAATCCCTGGTCCAGGAAGATCCCACATGTCATGGAGCAGCTAAACCCGTGTGCCACAACTACTGAGGTTGTGTGCTGCAACTCCTGAAGCCCAGGCACCCTAGATCCCATGCTCTGCAGCAAGAGAAGCCACCGCAATGAGAAGCCTGCACACTGAAATGAAGAGTAGCCCCTGCTTGCTGCAACTAGAGAAAGCCTGTGCGTAGCAACAAAGACCCAGTGCAGCCAAAAAAAAAAAAAAAAATTATGTTATTTTTTCCTAAGTAGCAAAGAGTTGCATTGAGTTCTGCCATTTGGAGTTCAGAAAATATGACTAATTTTTCTTGCTCAAGTGAATGTAAGCTCAATGAATATAAAGTCCCTTGTGCCTAGAAAATTAGATACTCAGAAAATATTTGTTAATAAGTATTTGATTACAGTTACTCTGTTCTCTCTCACCATGAGGTTTTGAGTGACTTTGATGACCTGTGTATTTTCAGTAACTAGATTACCTCTGCTCTGAGAGCTGATAGGTTCTGATTCGGGTGTGTGTTCAGTCTGTACATCAAACTGAGGCAGGGTGAAGACCCAGTCAAGGAGACACAGAATGGGCACTGCCAGTGATATTTGGATCCTAGCTGTGGTTGTGGACTTGAGATTAAAGAGGAAGACAGTTTATGAAGACTCTTTGTGCTGTACTCCTGTACTCTTAACTGACTGTTTTCCTAACCCCAGATGTCTGTTTTTGGAAATGTGGGGTAGTAAGTTTGGGTGTCAGATGTGTGGGCTCATACCCCCAATTCTACAGCTCCAGCCTGATACTGACTCAAGTCTCATGTTTATATTCTGGTAGTGGTCTGTGATGAAAAAGTCCATTGGTGGGCTCGCAACATCTGCCTCCTGTCTTCTCCCAAGTAGGTAAAACCCACCGTTGGTCAGAACCAGGATGGAGAAGCTTGGCCCCATGATCAGGATAATCACAGGATACAGAGATGAGGGTGAAAAAATAGACGAGAAGCAGGGTAGGACTTGCTAAGACGATTTTATGGAGCAGATTTTTTCTTGCTCATCATTGACAGGCATTGGAGGTTTGTTTTGTTTTTCTAGCGATGATTTTATTGACACTGTATTAGATCAGAAAAGTGTAAACTGTCCACAGCAAAGAATATTGCGCGATTGTTATTCGCGTGTACTAGGTAAATAAAAGTGATGATGGGGAGGGTTATGCACTCCCCGCCCTGCCCCTAACCACCGTTGCTCTCCTCCCTCGCCCCAAGTTAGTCCTTTTTCTGCATCTTTAACAGATACTGTAAGAGAAGGACAGTTGTTGCTCTAGTCAGTTTTTAACCAGGGTCCAGAAGTTTGTCGACTCTGACAGTAATTACCAATGTTTTCCACTATAATGAATATTAAAAAACAAACATACAGAGAAGTGCACAAGTGATAACGATACAGCTCAATGAATTTTCGCAAAGGGGAGCACAGCAGTGTGAACAGTACTGAGATCAATAAGTAGAGTATCATCCCAGCGTTGCCGGAGCCTTCTCCTCCTCCCAGCCCCCCTCACAGGAAACTACTCTCTGACCTAATTAATGCTACTTTGGGGCTTCATAAAATAGCATCATAATATATTGAATTTGGAGTGGATGGACATCTTTTGGGATAAAGACTCCATAGCTGGGCTTCCCTGGTGGCGCAGTGGTTGGGAGTCCGCCTGCCGATGCAGGGGACACAGGTTCGTGCCCCGGTCCGGGAAGATCCCACATGCCGCGGAGCGGCTGGGCCCGTGAGCCATGGCCGCTGAGCCTGCGCGTCTGGAGACTGTGCTCCACAACGGGAGAGGCCACAGCAGTGAGAGGCCCGCGAACAAAAAAAAAAAAAAAAAAAAAAAAGACTCCATAGCTCTCTGAATCTGAAAAAAAGATTAAGAAACATTGCTGGAGGTTCTTACGGGAGAATTATAGTCACACTAATTATGGTTAAGAGATGAAGGAAGTAATGGAATCAAATAGAAGAGAATAAGAATTGTACAGAAACAGTCACAAAATCGATCACACAACATAAGTAATCTGACAATATGGGAGAAATAATTTATACTGATCATTTAAGAAAATAATGCCTTTTAAGGTAGGTAAGCATTTTTAAACCCTGTTCTGTTAGACTCTAGTTAAGGTAAACTGAGTAAAAAAAAAAAGAGAAAGGTTTGGAATGAGATACAGTCTCTCTAGAATAACCCAATGGCAAAAATAAGAATGTAGCATTTAACTTGTGATTCATTCATTCATTCAAGCATTCATCGAATACCTTTTACAGTTAGATATTTTGATGGTTACTGTGAATATATAACTAAACAAAATATAGTTCCTGCCCCCAAGAAACTTACAGTATAATAGAAGTAAAGAGGAAATTAGCATTCGGTGTGGTAGATTATAAAACTCTAGTTCTG